AGCGCGCGCTCCCTCTCCCCCTGCGCACGCGCGCTCCCCGGGGCCCGCCGAAGCCGCCGTGCTGGGCCGCTGCCCTCACCTCAAGGCTGGTCAAAGAGGACCCGGAAGCGTCTGGGGAGAGAGGGCGCGAGAGAGGAAAGCCTGGCGGAAGTCAGAGCCCGGGCTGGAAGGGGAGGCGGGGATGTGAGTGGTAGGATAGGGAAGCTGTGGAGGAAGAGGGGGAGGGAGGGGAAAGGCTTGACTAAACGCCCATCACCTGGGGAACTTTTTTTTTTTTTTAGGGAGTTCATGATGAAACTAGGCAGGCTTGCAATAAAGCAAGGCATATATAACCCACATGCCCATAAAATAATATCTTTAAATGCATGCGCAGATCAGGGCTGTGGCTGCTTAAAAAATCACTTGCAAGAAGTGTTTCAGAACTGAAGCAGCAGCAGCAGACAAAAGCTGTTGATGCATTTATAAACCACTTTGGTCAAGGTGATGTTAAACAGGGCCCAAAAGTAACACTGACAGCCAATGCAATAATAATAGTAAAATGCAATAATACACAGTAAGAGAAATACACTATAACAATGGTTAGAAAGTGCAATGAATAATTGAGCCACTGTGCTGTTCTTATTGTTGCAAAGCTTCTAGAACCCCAACATCCTGGTAGGACCCTTGTATAATGCTAGACTTTACATGCGTACTTATGTAGTATTAATGATGTGCTGTATTTTTTAAATTCTGTGACTTGGTCTTGGACCATAAATAAATAAATGCCAGGCTTTGACCCTCCTTTAATTATCTTTTCTCCGGCTCAGTGCTCCAAGCAACATTGTGTGACTGAGAGCTATTATTTAACTAATATTTCATACAGTCTTTTGGAATACAGTAATACTACACTGGGATGGTAATAACCACAGAGGGTCAAGTCTCTGCCCTGTTCCGACATTAATTGGGGGAAGTTCAAAGGCAAAAGGATCAGAGATAAACCACGTTGCTTTTTACTTTTTTTTTTCCTTACCCATCTTCCTCACCCAACCTCAGTCATTTTATCTACAGCCCAGATAGTTAATTTATGGTTTGCCATGTAGCCATCTGAATAAATTAATTAAACCAAGATTAAAACTAGCCAAGCTTAGCATGGAGAACAAAAGTAATGCAAGGCATTCAGTTTTCCTCTCAGTCATGGAAAATCATTGAATAACTTCAAGTCTGTTATTGTCTGTATTTGCATAACATACTTATTCATGGTTGACTGGACCATGGCTTATCCAATGTTCTTGGTTTGTACAATACACAGGCTGCATTGCTACCACAAGAGAAAGCCAAATGGTTTACTAAGCCCAACCAGCTATACGTGCATAACCCACTAGGCTAAACCAAAAAATTACCATGTTTTACTGCAGTGTGTAAATCCAGCCCATGACTTGGCCTAGACCAATGGTTCTCAAGCATCTTGGTCCCAAGGACCCTTTACATACTTAAAAATTATTGAGGACCCCAAAGAGTTTGGGGTTATATGGGTTGTATCTACTGATATACTGTATTAGAAATTAAAACTGAGAACTGTTAAAATATTTGACTTCATGGACCCCATGAAAGGGTGTCAGGGACCTTCAGGGGTCCCCAGACCACACTTGTTGAGAACTGCTGGCCTCGTCTTTTCAAAAGTTATAACTAGGGCTCTCCATTTGGCTACAGACACTATTCTTTTTAACTTCAACATTAGGGAGTGACTGTCAGAATATCAGCATTGTTACAGCAATCATAAAATGGTAGTAGTTAATGCTCATTTAATAACTATGCAGTGTATAAAATGAAGGCATCTTTTGCAGGGGTGACAACTCATTTTGTTGATTAACAAGAGTTCCTACAAGCGTGGAATATTCTACCTTCAGTTGAACATTCATCCCACCTTTCTGACTGATGTCAAACAACTTGAGCGTAAATGTTTCAACCTGTGCCTCCTTCATCATGTGATGCATGAGCTTTTCACCAAATGTTCTTATTAAGTTTTTTCTGGAAATGGAATGTTCTTTGGCACAAGTGATGCGCTTTTACTATATGATCCTGAATATTGTACAGAGAGGTTCACATGCAATACTTTGATGCACACCGGTATGTATTTATTAAATTTCTTGAATGCTTCATGGATTCAACCACTTCCTTCCCCCCCCAGGTACAAAAAGCTCCTAAGCCTTGAAAGTTCATCAGAGTGACTTTGAGCTTGTTCTTGCAGATACAGATGCATAAGGCAAGGATCCAAGAAATTCATCAAGAGCACTCTCTGTGGAGAAGCCTTCAAAATTGCCTTAGGAGCAAATACATACAGATCTTTAAAAATACTAATTTCCTGTTTGATTAAGCAGAACATCAATGCATGGTCAGTATGATTTCTGTTGATATGGAAACCAAAAGGCTAAATCTAAGGTTAAAAGCAATACTCATTGTGCAGATGGGGGAAATTACTGAGTATTAATTGCTTTCAATTATTTAACCATAATTTGCAGCTGTAACTACTGCTGTCATCATCCTCTCCTAAGGATATGTTCTGGGAGAGGGAAAGTAATAATGGCCACTTTCATATACTACACTGACCCATGGTTAATTTTTTATGGTCAGTTGAAAATTCAGTTACCTGGATTTGCCCAGCACAGTGAATCAGACTGCTTACATTTGTATGATGACAAGTCACAAATGATCCAACCATGTTTTAGCCCAGTTTGTGATACTCTAAACTGTGTTGACTGTAGTTCAGCGTGTCACATGAATTCCAACAGTTGGGATATTTAAGTAAACCCTGAGTAAGCCTATGGGTTGAACACTGACACAATCAACCACATTTTAGTTAGCCTGCTGAGCAAACTGAACCAATGACATTTAATAACAACTGCTGGTATGATGCTAAGCTAAGTTTCACTGAAATGTGGTTTATTGAATTAACCTGATCTACATTCATGCAACCTTTTGAACTATGGCATTTTTTAATTCACTTGATGAACATAAGATGTATGCAAGCATCTTCTCTGTCTTAATTACTTGCAAAATGATTATGAAAAGGGAATATCTTTAAAATGTTTATAGTAAAAGTGTTGTAATTATTGAAATGGTCAAAATCACTATAAATATTTGTCAGTAGATGCTTGTACATTTGACTGCTACCTATACTAACCATTGACATCAATATTTCAGGCTTTTTAAAATAAATAAGCAAATAAATGAGCTGTGTTTTGACCTCTGTAACTATGCCCTATTCCTTAACTGTCCTCTGCAAGAATGATTTTATTAGTTTGCTGATAATCCTCTTCTGATTTCAGAATCTGGAACAAGCTTAACTTATTTGCTATCTACTTTTGCTTTCTCTTGTTTTGAGAACCATTATAAGTTATGATAAACATAAGACCCATTTTACTAAAGTTCAGAAAATTCTTAGTTTATAATGAAGTAGAATATTTTTTTTCATATAAACTAAACTTTGTATGGATTAAAAAATACAATGCAGCTTCCTGATCGAACAAAAGTAAGGGTTTTTTTAGCATTCACTTTGTTTCTAATATTTTGTATTTTTAAATGTTGTCCACTCTAATGCTTGATTGAACAGAAAGCCAAGGTATAAACAAAAGTTTTTTTAAAAAAAAGATAAAAACTGATTCTGCTCCTTGTGTTTAGCAGATCATCTCATGGTTGATGACTGAATTTATTGATTGATTTACACAAAGGGGCTATGTCACAGTGTTTAATTCACATTAAATAACTGTGGTTTGTTGAATATATTAGATGAACCAGCCATTGTGGGTGATAAAGTTTTATGTTTTATTTTTG